GGAGGATTCTGACCGTCAAATCACAACAGAATCCGCGACTTCGACGGTCTAAATTCTCCCGAGTCTCGACCTTTGCTGACGTTTCGATTTCGCGCTGCAAATTGTGTTGATGTTTCTGCCCGTTTTTTCGTTGCTAATGGTAGTTGACATTGCGTTTTTCATCCTGCTCGTTTTTTTTCTCAATCGAGCTGAACTTGAAAAGGTAGGGTTTAGGGCCGGCTCCGCCGTGCCCCTCACTCCTCCTCTTTTCCCCCTACCACCGCACCCCTGCGGACTCTGCACATGGACGTCTGGGGCCCAGCCCCGGTCCATGGGCCGCGTCGCGAGCGCTTCTTCCTAGTGCTTGTCGACGACTTCACACGTTACACCACCGTCTTTCCCCTGGAGCGGAAGGCCGACGTGCCTGACGTTCTCATCCCCTGGCTTGTCTCTGCTCGTCTCCACCGCGGTCTCCCTGCCTTGCGCCTCCACTCCGACCGGGGTGGCGAGTTCGCCTCAGGTGTCCTTGGTCGCTTCTGTCGTGCGGAGGGCATCACCCAGACGTTTACCTTGCCGGACTCCCCGCAGCAGAATGGGGTCGCTGAGCGACGCATCGGTTTGGTCATGGAGGTGGCTCGCACCTCCATGATCCACGCCGGTGCACCCCATTTTCTGTGGCCGTTCGCCGTGCGCTACGCCGCTCACCAGCTTAACCTGTGGCCGCACCCCCAGCGGCCGCAGGTTTCGCCGACCCTTCTGTGGACCGGGTCCCCTGGTGACGCGTCTGCGTTCCACGTCTGGGGCTGCCTTGCTCACGTTCGTGCCTCTGGCACGGACAAGCTCACTGCCCGCACCCTCCCCTGCGTCTTCCTCGGTTTCCCCCTTGACGCGTCCGACTGGCACTTCTACCACCCGCCGTCTCACCGTTTCTTTCACTCTCGCGACGTCACCTTTGACGAGTCCGTCTCCTTCTTCCGCCGCTTTCCCCACCGTGGTCCCCCGGTTACTCCCCCCCTGTTCCTGGTTCCTCCCTCCCTGGTGGCCCCTGCCCCTCCCCCCCCCCGCCCCCCCGTCCGGCCCCCTCTGGTGTGTCTCACGTCACCCCCCTCCCGTCGGTCGTTCCGGTCGACGAGTCTTCTGACTCTGGTAGTCCTTTGGCGCAGTCCTCGCCGTCTGTCCCTCCCCCGGTGTCTCCTCCTCCACCGCCTCCGCAGCCGCCGTCGCCGCAGCTGCTGCAGCCGTCGTCTCCGCCGCCGCCGCCGTCGAGGCCGTCGCTGCAGCCGCCGCCGCCGCCGCCGCCGTCGTCGCTGCCGCTGTTTGTGGACTCTGGGGGTGCTGGAGTTGAGGTGGGTACTAGTCCCGGGGCTCCTGTTGTGGCTTGTCCCGGCGGGCCTGGGGGTGGTACCGGTGCTGGCGGTGTTTCGGGCTCTGGGGGTGTCCCTTCTGGGGGTGCCGGTGTGGAGGGTTCGGGAGGTAGCCGTCGCGCAGCTTGTGGCCCTGGCGTTGGTGTTGTGTCGCCGCAGCAGCAGTCCCCGCCGGTGTCCGCCCTCCGTCTGCTCGGCCTTCCGTCCCCTGACCCTGCGCCTGTTCCTCCCCGGCCGTCTCCCCCTCTTCCCGTCTACGGCCCTGTGTTCCCTCCGCCGGGCTCGTCCCCGGCTCGTTTTCCCCCTCGTTCCCCACCCGTGTCCCCTCCTCTGTCTCCTGACCCGACGCCGCCCTCTCACGTCTGGTCTCGCCGCCCCTCCCGTGCTCGTCCTGTCTCCCCCGTCCCGCGCACTCACCCTATGTTGCTCCGCTCCCACGCGTCTCGTCCTCCCCTCCTCCCGTCTCCTCCTCCGTCCTCTCTTGTCGTTGCGTCTCCTCCTCTGTCTGACTACTTTCGTGCCGCTCGTCCTCTTGTTCCTCGGGTCCTTGCCTCTCTCGTTACCGACCCGTCTGTTCCAGTGTCGAGTCTTGACGCCCTTGTCGCTGCGGTCGCTGACTTCGCCTCTACCCGCCGCCTTGACTACGCCTCCGCTCTGGTCTCTGACCCTGCCTGTCCTCCGTCTGTCGGGGGTGCTCCTGCCCTCGGCAGTGACGTCCTGGAGGACCGCCAGTTTGAGCTTGCTTTCCTGTCCGAGGCTGCTCCCCATCTCTGTTCCATGCTGCTAGTCCCTGAGGGTGACCCAGACGCTTTTGACATCCCGACCCCTCGTACTTACGCTGAGGCGGTTTCGGGACCTTGGGCCTCTCAGTGGATAGCTGCCATGGAGCAGGAGATGGCATCTTGGAGATCCACCGGCACCTTCGTCGACGCAGTTCCCCCACCTGGGGTGAACGTGGTCGATGGCCGTTGGCTCTTCAAGGTGAAGCGCCCTCCTGGAGAGCCGCCTGTGTTCAAGGCGCGTTACGTGGCTAGAGGCTTCAGTCAGCGCGAGGGGGTGGACTTCTTTCAGACTTTCGCTCCTACCCCGAAGATGACTACTCTTCGGGTTCTGCTACACGTAGCGGCTCAGCGTGACTACGAGCTTCACTCCCTCGACTTCTCCACTGCCTTTCTTCAGGGCAGCCTTCACGAGCAGGTCTACCTGCGTCGTCCTCAGGGCTTTACTGGCACCTTCCCCCTTGGGACCCAGTGGCTTCTGCGGCGCCCAGTCTACGGCCTGCGCCAGGCGCCTCGTGAGTGGCACGACACGCTGCGTGCTACTCTTGCTGACCTGCAGTTCTTTCCGTCCTCTGCAGACCCCTCGCTCTTCGTTCGTGCTGGCTCGACTCCGTTCTACATCCTCGTCTACGTAGACGACCTGGTCTTTGCCACAGCTGACAGGGACGCACTGGCCTCCGTGAAGGCAGAGCTGCTGAAGAGACACACCTGCACTGACCTTGGAGAGCTGCGCCGTTACCTTGGCTTGCAGATCTCCAGGGACAGAGCCGCGCGCACCATCACCCTGACTCAGTCACACTTGGTGCGCCAGGTCCTTCAGAGGTTCGGCCTTCAGTTCTCCTCCGCACAGCCCACCCCTCTTCCTCTGGACCACAGACTCTCCGCTCCAGTTCCTGAGGAGTCGGTAGATCCCAGTGGTCCTTACACTGAGCTAGTGGGTTGCCTCATGTACCTGATGACTTGCACTCGCCCAGATCTCGCATACCCTCTCAGCATCCTGGCTCGTTTTGTGGCCACAGGCAGACACCGACCTCAGCACTGGTCTGCCGCTAAGAGGGTTTTGCGTTATCTTGCAAGTACATCGGGCATGGGGTTAGTGCTAGGCGGACGCAGGCCAGTGGTCCTTACTGGACACACAGACGCTTCTTGGGCAGACGACGCCGAGACGCTCAGGTCTTCCCAGGGCTACTGCTTTAGCCTTGGCTCAGGTGCTGTCTCGTGGAGAGCTACCCGCTCCTCGTCGGTTGCCCAGTCCAGCTGTGAGGCTGAGATCTACGCCGGTGCCATGGCGGCACAGGAGCTCCGCTGGCTGACCTTCTTGCTCACTGACTTAGGTGAGCGGCCTAGCTCTGCCCCGGTCCTGTACGCTGACAATAGGGCCATGATTCTCCTGTGTCAGGAGCCTCGACTCGAGGGCAGAGCGAAGCACATCCAGCTGCGGTACTTCCTCCTGCGCGAGCTACAGCAGCGGCGCCAGGCTCGCGTAGTACACTTGGCCTCCGGTGCCAACACAGCTGATATCTTTACGAAGGCGCTTGCGCCTAAAGATCATCAGCGGCACTGTTTACAGCTTGGTCTGGTTCCTGTAGTCTCTCACTTACTCGGGCCTTGACTTTGTACTGTCGTATATATATATATGTATACACTCAGACTGGACTTGTGTCCTCTCACAGTGGTTGGACTAGTAGTGCCGCCCTGTACTCGTTCTTGCCTTGTCTGTACTCCTTCTGACTGGTCTTTTAGACCCTTGTCTCAGAGGCTGGACTAGTAGTGCCACCCTGAGCTACTTGTCTAGAACATTCCCCTATGCAGTCCAGGGGGTGTGTCAAACATGTGTAGTTATCATGTTTGTATAGACTGTATAGGGTCACCTTCTAGAGAGTACAACATTTAGGTATATGTTTGTGTACTCTCTCTCTCTCACATTATTCAATTCTAGGTTTGATAGGAAATACTGTTCTTTGCAGCATAAAACGAGGAGGGTGTTATGTAAAATGCAACCCCCGAAAAGCGGGTGCTCTCCTAAATTCACCCTATCATAAGCTCTCCCCCGCATAAACCACCCGCGGAGTGACTATTTTGGCGGGTGTTATATACGGGGGATTACGGTATGTGTCAGGAACGACCTCGCGACTAGATGAACGGTCCCTTCCAGTTCGACAAACCATCGGCCACGTCCTCCCTCATGTCATCATTACAATATTTTCTCAGCAACGCGTCATCACCAATAGCCAGATTGACCGTTTACAATTTCACAATGAGTTTTCGCTAGTACCTGTTCGGTCAACTGAAGAATTCGAAAATCTTCGACGACGAAGATTAAAACCGATCGTTTCGACGTTTTATGGCCATCGATCACATTTCAAGTTGAAGACCTCGTCAGGACTGCGTAATCATTGCGCTCGTCATTGTGCTGAAGACCTACAGTCACATCGAGGATTACTTTTCATGATACGACATTCGATATATGGAATGCCTTATCTAGAAGGTGGGAGAGTGGAAGGAATTAACATTCCTTACTGCGCTGAACTACAGCGCGTACACCCGAAGACCTCGAACTCGCAGGTTCGGCCATTATTGTCGGCCCAAACCTCCCCGAGTCGCGTTCCGACACCCTCGACACCCAACCAAACCATTCACGTCCCGAGGTCCTCGCCCTAGCTCGTCCTAGCACGTCCGTGCCCTATTTTAGCCAGTTCGCTCGTCACTTGTGGGGACCTGATTTTCGGAGGATCTCTTTCCAATATTGAGTGGCTGTTCCATTCCCACTCATACAGTTACAGTAGTACTAGGCAAAATTGAAGTGATGCTGGGATGTTTGTACACTGCCTCTTAAGACGCTACAAACCGAAGGTTGAACGGTGCCGATGGAAAGTCTGCATGGTACCATATGCATCCCCAATGTAGAAATGTTTGCTAGTAGGATTTTAGCTGTGCCGAGCTGAAATCCTGGCAGTACACTATGAACGCTCGAACTTTTTTTACGACGACACACAGACACAATGATATTGTCCTTTCTCATGATACTCTTACACGCCCAAGGACAGGGACAGGGACAGGGACAGGGACAGGGACAGGGACAGGGACAGGGACAGGGACAGGGACAGGGACAGGGACAGGGACAGGGACAGGGACAGGGACAGGGACAGGGACAGGCACAGACACAGGGATGGGGACAGGGACGGGGACAAGGACGGGGACGGGGACGGGGACGGGGACGGGGACGGGGACGGGGATGAAGACGGGGACAGGGACGGGGACGGGGACAGGTGCACGGACAGGGACAGGCACAGGGACAGGCAAAGGCACAGGCACAGGGACAGGGACAGGCACAGGAACAAGGACAGGCACATGTAAAGGCATAGGGATAGGAATAGACACAGGCACAGGCACAGGCACAGGGACAGGGACGAGGACAGGGACAGGGACTGAAACAGGGACAGCAACAGGGACAGGGACAGGGATAGGGACAGGGACAAGGACAGGGACAGGGACGGGGATAGGGGCACGGACAAGGACAGGAACAGGCACAGGGACAGGGACAGGGGCAGGGACAGGGACAGGCACAGGCACAGGGACAGGCACATGCACAGGCACAGGCACAGGCACACGCGTAGGGACAGGGACAAGGACAGGCACAAGGACACGCACAGGCACAGGCACAAACAAGGACAGGGACTGGGACAGGGACCGGGAAAGGACCGGGACCGAGACAGGGACAGGGACAAGGACAGGGAGAGGGACAGGGAGAGGGACAGGGACAAGGACAGGGGCACATACAGGGACAGGCAGAGGCAGAGGCACAGGGACATGGACAGGAACAGGGACAGGGACACAGACAGGGACAGGCACAGGGACAAGGACAAACACAAGGAGAGGGACAGGGACAGGCACAGGCACATGGACAGGCAGAGGCACAGGGACAAGGACAGGGACAGGGACATGGACATGGACAGGGAAAGGGACAGGGTCAGGGACAGGGACAGGGACCGGGACCGGGACAGGGACAGGGACAGGGACCGAGACAGGGACCAGGACAGGGACAGGGATAGGGACAGGGACAGGCACAGGTATAGGGACACGGACAGGCACAGGGACAAGGACAGGGACAAGCACAGGCAAAGGCACAGGCACAGGCACAAGCATAGGCACAGGGACAGGGATAGACACAGGCACACGCACAGGCACAGGGACAGGGACAGGGACAGGGACCGGGAGCGGGAGCGGGACAGGGACAGGGACAGGGATAGGGACAAGGACAGGTACAGGGACAGGGACAGGGACAGGGACAGGGATAGGGACAGGGACCGGGACAGGGACAGGGACAGGGACAGGGACCAGGACAGGGACCGCGACGGCGACGGCGACGGGCACGGGCACGAGGACGGGGACAGGGACAAGGACAGGGATAGGGACAGGGAGAGGAACAGGGAGGGGGAAAGGGATAGGAATAGGGACAAGGACAGGGACCGGGACATGGACAGGGACAAGGACAGTGACAGGGACAGGGACCGGGATAGAGACCGGGACCGGGTCAGAGACAGGGACAAGGACAGGGACAGGGACAAGGACAGGCACAGGGACAAGCTCAGGGACAGGGACAGGGACAAGGACAGGGACAGGGACAGGGACAGGGACAGGCACAGGCACACGCACAGGGACTGGGACAGGGACAGGCATAGGCACAGGTACAGGGACAGGGACAAGGACAGGGATAGGGACAAGGACAGGGACAGGGACAAGGATAGGGATAGGGACAGGGACGGGGACAAGGACAGGGACAGGGAAAGGGACAGAGACAGGGACCGGGACAGGGATCGGGACAGGGACAGGGACAGGGACAGGGACAGGGACAGGGATAGGGACAGGGACAGGCATAGGTATAGGGACACGGACAGGCACAGGGATTGGGACAGGGATAGTCACAAGCATAGGCACAGGCAAAGGGACAGGGACAGACACATGCACAGGCACAAGCACAGGCAGAAGGATATGGACAGGGACAGGGACAGGAACAGGGACAGGGGCAGGGACAGGGACAGCGATAGCGACAGCGACAGGGACAGGGACAGGGACAGGGACGGGGACAGGGACAGGGACCGTGACTGGGACAGGGACTGCGACGGCGACGGCGACTAGCACAGGCACGGGAAGAGGGACGGGGACGGGGACAGGGACAGGGACAGGGACAGGGAGAGGAACAGGGACAGGGACAAGGACCGGGACAGGGACAGGGACAAGGACAGGCACAGGAATAGGCACAGGGATAGGGATAGGGATAGGGATAGGGACAGGCACAGGCACAGGGACTAGGACAGGGACTGGGACAGGGACAGGTACAGGGAAAGGGAAAGGGACAGTTACATGCATATGCACAAGCACAGGCACAGGCACAAGGACAGGGAAAGCCAAAGGGTCAGGCAAAGGCACAAGCATAGGCATAGGCAGAGGGAAAGGGACTAGAATAGGGATAGGGATAGGGACAAGGACAGGGACAGGGACAGGAACAGGGACAGGGCCAGGGACAACGACAGGGACTGGGACTGGGACAGGCACAAGGATAGGGACAGGGACAGGCACAAGCAAAGGCACAGGGACAGGCAAAGGCACAGGTGTAAAAAATAGAGCTGAAATGATTAATTAGGTAACGAGCCCAAGGCTCTATAAGTACATGGAAAGGTGAGAGAGAATGGATGAAAGGGGAATCGGGGGGATTTCCCATTGGGATCTCCAAAATTTCTAATTGGGTAATTGGAGATTGGGGGGATTTCAATTGGGTGAGGTTGGGATTGGTGAATACACCCCAACCCACTAGAACATTCATAACCTAAACTAGGATATAAAAATACAAATACAAAAGTGGGATTTGCAATCTATTTCTAACAACTGTTGTAACATATATATCTATACAACATGCATGCCTAGATTAGGAGGTGTAGTCATTCTAATTATTAGGGGGTTGTTGGTTGGGTTGACCAACCCCACATTTGGATTGGTCAAAATTGGATTTGGTCCTAGACATTTGGTTGGCACTATTCCAACCAAATGGTCCTTGGTCCTAGGAACCAACCAATCACCAAGCACCACACTTTGTGGTTGCTTGCCTTCCAAGCAATCTCTCTCATTGGTCCACATAGTGGCCAATCGGAGAGCACCACACTTTGTGGTTGCTTGCCCTACAAGCAACCTCTCCCATTGGTCCACTTTATGGCCAATAGGAGAGCTTCCCTTCCAACTCTTCCTTGCTCCTTGTTTTGTACAAAAGAGCCTCTTGGCTCCCTATTCAATTCAATCTTTTCTCTTCCAAGCTAGTTCCTTTTACAACAGGGACAGGGACAGGGACAGGGACAGGGACAGGGATAGGGACAGGCACAGGTATAGGGACAAGGACAGGGATAGGGACAGGGACAAGCACAGGCACAGGCACAGGGACAAGGACAAGGACAAGGACAGGGAAAGGGACAGGGACAGGGATAGGGACAAGCACAGGTATAGGGACAGGGACATGCAAAGGGACAGGGACAGTCACAGGCACAGGCACAGGCACAAGGACAGGGTCAGGGACAGGGACAGGGACAGGGAGTGGGACACGGACAGGGACAGGCACAGGGATAGGGACCGGGACAGGGACCGGGACAAGGACAGGGACAAGGATAGGGACAGGGACAAGGATAGGGACAGGGACAGGGACAGGCACAGGCACGAGGACAAGGACAGGGACAGGGACCGGAACACGGACCGCGACAGCGACGGCGACGGGCATGGGCACAGGGACGGGGACGGGGACAGGGACGGGGACAGGGACAGGAACAAGGACACGGAAAGGGAGAGGAACAGGAACAGGGACAGGGATAAGGACAGGGACAAGGAAAGGCAAAGGGACAGGCACAGGGACAGGGATAGGGAGAGGGAGAGGGAGAGGGAGAGGGAGAGGGAGAGGGAGAGGGAGAGGGAGAGGGAGAGGGAGAGGGACAGAGACAGGGACAGAGACAGGGACAGGGATAGGCACAGGCATAGGCAAAAGCATTGGGACAGGCACATGCACAGGCACAGGCTCAGGCACAGGGACACACACAGGGAAAGGGACAGGGACATGCGCATGCACAGGCACAGGCACAGGCACAGGGACAGGGACAGGGACAGGGAGTGGGACACGGACAAGGACAGGGACAGGGACCGGGACCGGGACAGGGACAGGGACAGGGACAAGGACACGGACAGGGACAGGAACAGGGACAAGGACAGGGACAGGCGCAGGGACAGGCAAAGGCAGAGGCACAAGGACAGGGACAGGAACAGGGACCGTGTCACGAACAGGGATTGGCACAGGGACAAGGACAAGCACAAGGACACGGACAAGGACAGGCACAGGCACAGGCACAGGGACAGGGAGAGGCACAGGGACAGGGACGGGGACAAGGACAGGGACATGGACAGGGACAGGGACACGGACCGGGACAGGGACAGGGAAGGGGACAGGGACAAGCACTTGGACAGGCACATGTATAGGGACAAGGACAGGCACAGGGACAAGGACAAGGACAGGCACAGGCAAAGGCACAGGCGGGACAGGGACAGACATAGGCACAGGCACCAGCACAGGCACAGGGACAGGGACAGGGACCGGGACCGGGAGCGAGACAGGGACAGGGACAGGGACAGGGACAGGCACATGGAAAGGGACAGGGACAGGGATAGGGGCAGGGACAGGGACCGGGACAGGGACCGCGACGGCGACGACGATGGGCACAGGTATGGGCACGGGCACGGGGACGGAGACGGGGACAGAGAAAGGGACAGGGAGAGGGACAGGGAGAGGGACAGGGATCGAGACAGGGATCGCGACGGCGACGGCGACGGGCATGGGGACGGGGACAAGGACAGGGACAGGGACAGGGACAGGGAGAGGACCAGGGACTGGGACAAGGACAGGGATAGGGACAGGCACGAGGATAGGTACGGGAATAGGGACAGGGACAGGCACAGGCACAAGCACAGACACAGGCACAGGGACCGGGACAGGGACTGGCACAGGCACACGGACAGGGACAAGGACAGGGAGGGACAGGGACAGGGATTGGGACCGGGATAGGGACAAGGACAGGGCCAGGGACAGGGACAGGGACAGGGACCGAGACAGGGACAGGGATAGGCACAGGCACAGGGACAGGGACAGCCACAGGGTCAAGCAAAGGCACAAGCACAGGCACAGGCACAGGCACAGGGAAAGGGACAAGAACAGGGACAGGGACAGGGAAGGGGACAGGCACAAGGACAGGGACAGGGACAGGGACAGGCACTGGCCCAAGCACAGGGACCGGCAGAGGCACAGGTACAGGGACAGGGATAGGGACAGGGACAAAGACAGGGACCGGGACAGGGACCGGGACCGGGACCGGGACCGGGACTGGGACAGGGACAGGGAAAGGGACTGGGACAGGGACAGGGACAGGGACAGGCACAGGTATAGGGACAGGGACAGGCATAGGGACACGGATAGGCACAGGCACAGGGACAGGCATTGGCACAAACACAGGCACAGGCACAAGCAAAGGCACAGGAACCAGGACAGGGATTGGCACAGGCACTGGCACACGAACAAGGACAGGGACTGGGATCGGAACAGGGACAGGGACAGGGACAGGGACAGGGACTGGGACTGGGAGAGGGACAGGGACAGGGCAAGGGACAGGGACAGGGACAGGGACCGAGACAGGAACACGGATAAGCACATGCACAGGGAAAGGGACAGGAATAGGGACATGGACAGGGACAGGGACAAGGACAGGGACAGGGACAGGGATAGGGACAGGGAGAGGGACAGGGACAGGGAGAGGAACAGGGACAAGGACATGGATAGGGACGGGGACAAGGATAGGCACAAGGACAGGCACAGGGACAGGGACAAGGACAGGGACTGGCACAGGCACAGGCACAGGCATTGGAACCGTTACAGGGACAGGCACAGGCACAAGCACAGGCACAAGCACAGGCACATGCACAAGCACAGGCACATGCACAAGCACAGGCACAGGGACAGGGACAGGGACATGGACCGGGACAGGGTCCGGGACAGGGACAGGGATAGGGTTAGGGACAGGGACAGGGATAGGGACAAGGACTGGGACAGGGACTGCAACGGCGACGGCGACAGGCACGGGGACGGGGACAGGGACAGGGACAGGGACAGGGAGAGGATCAGGGACAGGGATAAGGATAGGGACAGGGACAGGGACAGGCACGGGGATTGGTTCAGGAACAAGGACAAGGACAGGCACAGGCACAGGCACAGACACAGGCACAGGGACGAGGACAGGGACTGGCACAGGCACACGGACAGGGACAGAGACAGGGACAGGGATAGGGACAGGGACAGGGACAGGGAAAGGGACAGGGAGAGGTACCGAGACAAGGATAGGGATAGGCACATGCACAGGGACAGGGACAGCAACAGGGTCAGGTAGAGGCACAAGCACAGGCACAGGCACACGGAAAGGGACAAGAACAGGGACAGGGATAGGCACGGGGATAGGTTCAGGAACAGGGATAGGGACAGGCATAGGCACAAACACAGGCACAGGGACCGGGACAGGGACTGGCACAGGCACACGGACAGGGACAGGGATACGGACAGGGACAAGGGACAAGGCCAAGGACAAGGACAAGGACCGAGAAAGGGACAGGGATAGGCACATGCACAGGGACAGGGACAGCCACATGGTCAGGCAGAGGCACAAGCACAGGCACAGGCACAGGGACCGGGACAGGGACTGGCACAGGCACTGGCACAGGCACACGGACAGGGACAAGGACAGGGAAAGGGACAGGGACAGGGACTGGGACAGGGACAGGGACAAGGACAGGGCCAGGGACAGGGACGGGGACAGGGACCGAGACAGGGACAGGGATAGGCACAGGCACATGGACAAGGACAAGGACAGGGACAGGGACATGGACCGGGACAGGGACAGGGACAGGGACAGGGAGAGGACCAGGGACTGGGACAAGGACAGGGACAGGTATAGGGACAGGCACGAGGATAGGTACAGGAATAGGGACAGGGACAGGCACAGGCACAGGCACAGGCATAGGCACAGGCATAAGGACAGGGATAGGGTTAGGGACAGGGACACGGATAGGGAGGGACATGGACAGGGACAGGGACAAGCACAAGCACAGGCACAGGGAGAGGGAGAGGGAGAGGGAGAGGGAGAGGGAGAGGGAGAGGGAGAGGGAGAGGGAGAGGGAGAGGGAGAGGGAGAGGGAGAAGGAGAGGGAGAGAGAGAGGGATAGGGACAGGGACAGGCACAGGCAGAGGCACAGGGATAGGCACAGGCACAGGGACAGGCACAGGGACAGGCACAGGGACAGGGACAGGGACAGGGACAGGGACACGGTCAAGGACAGGGACAGCGACAAGCACAGGGACAGGGACAGGGACAGGGACAGGGGCAGGGACAAGCACGGGGACAGGGATTGGGACAAGGACAGGGACAGTCACAGGGACAGGCACAGGGACAGGCACAAGGATAGGCACAGGGATAGGGACAGGGACCAGGACAGGCACAAGCACAGGGACAAAGACAGGGACAGGCACAGGGAGAAGGACAGGGATAGGGACAGGGACAAGGACAGGGACAGGGATACGCACAGGGACATGGACAGGGATAGGGACAGGGACAGGGACAGGGACAGGGAGAGGGAGAGGGACAGGGATAGAGACAGGGACAGGGACAAGGACAAGGACAAGGACAGGGACAGGGACAGGCACATGGGAGTGGGAGAGGGAGAGGGAGAGGGAGAGGGAAAGGGAGAGGGACAGGCACACGCACAGGGACAGGTACAAGGACTGGGACAGAGACAGGGACATGGACAGGGACAGGGATAGGGACAGGGACGGGGACAGAGACAGGGACAGGGACAGGGACAGGGACTGGCACAAGGATAGGGACAGGGACAGGGACTGGGACAGGGACATGCTCAGGGATAGGGACAGGCACAGGCACAGGGACAGGGATAGGGACAGGGACAGGGACAGTGACAGTGACAGGGACAGGGACAGTGAGGCAGGAGCTCGGGCTTGCCCTCCTTGCCCTCCTTGCCCTCCTTGCCCTCCTCGCCATCCTCGCCCTCCCTGCTTGCCTCGCTTTCATGCCTTTCGCTGTTGGGCTCCGCGCTGCTGCTGGGAAGAGGCCTCCGCCAACTTTCCAGCCCAGATCGCAGTTCCTTGCTCAACAAAACCGAGGAAGAGAGATACAGAGATTTGGGGCAAGACAGGGCAGTGGACCGGACAGGGCACTGGACAAGACAAGACAAGACAAGACAGGGTGCGGGCACTAGACAGGGCAGTGGCGCGGGCACTGGATAGGATAGTGGACTGTGCAGTGGACCGGGCAGTGGACAGGGCAGTGGACCAGGTAGTGGACCGGACCCTGGACAAGGCAGTGGACAGGACAGTGGACTGAGCAGTGGACCGGGGAGTGGACTGGGCAGTGGACCGGGCAGTGGACTAGTCACTAGGCCAGGCAGTGGACCGGGCAGTGGATCGGGGACGGGATCAGGCAGTGGACCGGGCAGTGGACCTGGCAATGGACCGGCACTGGACACGGCAGTTGTCCGGGCACTGAACCGGACCCTGGACAGGGAAGTGGACCGGGCAGTGGACCGGGCAGTGGACCGGGGAGTGGACCGGGCAGTGGACCGAGCAGTGGACCAGGCAGTGGACCGCTAGGAAGAGTAAGAAGTTGAGGGACAAGTTGAGGGACAAGTTGAGGGACAAGTTGAGGGACAAGTTGAGGGAAGAAGGTGGGAAAAAATTCGAGGGAGGAAGGAGAAGAACTGAGTGGCGGAGGGCGGGGATAGTTGCAAGGAAGGGATGAATCCCTAGGGAGCATCTCTCCTCCGCATCCCTGTTGGTGCTCCCTAGGGAGCTGCTAGGGAGAGGAAGAATGGGCGAGGGAGGAGGGAGGAGAATTGAGGGCCAGAGGGAGGGGCAAGTTGCGAGGAAGGGATGAATCCCTAGGGAGCATCTGCGGACAGCCATGACGCACAGCCATGACGGCCAGCCATGACGGACAGCCATGACGGCCAGCCATGACGGCCAGCCATGACGAACAGCCATGACCGACACCCATGACGGCCAGCCATGACGGACAGCCACGACAGACAGCCATGACGGCCGACCATGACGCACAGCCATGACGGACAGCCATGACGGACAGCCATGACAGCCAGCCATGACGGCCAGCCATGACGGACAGCCATAACGGACAGCCCTGACGGACAGCCATGACGGACAGCCATGACGAGCAGCCATGACCGACAGCCATGACCGACAGCCATGACCGACAGCTATGACGGCCAGCCATGACGGCCAGCCATGACGGACAGCCATGACGGACAGCCATGACGGACAGCCATGACGGCCAGCCATGACGGACAGCCATCACGGACAGCCCTGACGGACAGCCATGACGGACAGCCATGACGACCAGCCATGACGGACAGCCATGACGGACAGCCATGACGGACAGCTATGACGGCCAGCCATCACGGCCAGCCATGACGGACAGCCATGACGGCCAGCCATGACGGCCAGCCATGAAGGACAGCCAAGACGGCCAGCCATGACGGACAGCCACCCCGGACGGCCATGACGGACAGCCATAAAGGACAGCCATGACGGACAGCCATGACGGCCAGCCATGACGGCCAACCATGATGGACAGCCATGACGCACAGCCATGACGGCCAACCATGACGGCCAGCCATGACAGACAGCCATGACGGACAGCCATGACGGACAGCAATGACGGCCAGCCATGACGGACAGCCATAACGGACAGCCATGACGGACAGCCATGACGGCCAGCCATGACGGCCAGCCATGACGGACAGCCATGACGGCCAGCCATGATGGACAGCCATGACGGCCAGCCATGAGGGACAACCATGACGGACAGCCATGACAACCAGCCATGACGGACAGCCATGACGGACAGCCATGACCGCCACCCATGACGGCCAGCCATGACGCCCAGCCATGACAACCAGCCATGACGGACAGCCATGACGGACAGCCATGACGGCCAGCCATGACGGCCAGCCATGAGGGACGACATGACGGACAGCCATGACGGCCAGCCATGACGGCCAGCCATGACGGACAGCCATGACGGCCAGCCATGACAGCCAGCTATGACGGCCAGCCATGACGGACAGCCATGACAGACAGCCATGACGGACAGCCATGACGGACAGCCATGACGGCCAGCCATGATGGCCAGCCATGACGGACAGCCATGACGGACAGCCATGACGGACAGCCATGACGGACAGCCATGACGGCCAGCCATGATGGCCAGCCATGACGGACAGCCATGACGGACAGCCATGACGGACAGCCATGACGGCCAGCCATGACGGCCAGCCATGATGGACAGCCATGACGGCCAGCCATGACGGACAGCCATGACGGCCAGCCATGACGGCCAGCCATGACGGCCACCCATGACGGCCAGCCATGACGGACAGCCATGGCGGCCAGCCATCACGGCCAGCCATGACGGCCAGCCATGACGGACAGCCATGACGGACAGCAATGACGGCCAGCCATGATGGGCAGCCATGACGGACAGCCATCACGGCCAGCCATGACGGACAGCCATGACCGCCACCCATGACGGACAGCCATGACAGACAGCCATGACGGCCAGCCATGACGGCCAGCAATGACGGACAACCATGACGGACAGCCATGACGACCAGCCATGACGGACAACCATGACGGACAGCCATGACGACCAGCCATGAAGGACAGCCATGACGGACAGCCATGACGAACAGCCATGACGGACAGCCATGACGGCCAGCCATGACGGACAGCCATGACGGACAGCCATGACGGCCAGCCATGACGGCCAGCCATGACGGACAGCCATGACGGCGAGCCATGACGGACAGCCATGATGGCCAGCCATGACGGACAGCCATGACGGCCAGCCACGACGGCCAGCCATGACGGAGAGCCATGACGGCCAGCCATGACGGACAGCCATGACGGACAGCCATGACGGCCACCCATGACGGCCACCCATGACGGACAGCCATGACAGCCAGCCATGACGACCAGCCATGACGGACAGCCATGACGGACAGCCATGATTGCCAGCCATGACGGACAGCCATGACGGACAGCCATGACGAACAGCCATGAGGGCCAGCCATGACGGACAACCATGACGGACAGCCATGACGGACAGCCATGACGGCCAGCAAAGACGGACAGCCATGACGGCCAGCCATGACGACCAGCCATGACGGACAGCCATGAAGGACAGCCATGACGGCCTGCCATTACGGCCAGCCATGACGGACAGACATAACGGACAGCCATGACGGACAGCCCTGACGGCCAGCCATGACGGCCAGCCATGACGGCCAGCCATGACGGACAGCCATGACGGCCAGCCATGACGGACAGCCATGACGGACAGCCATGACGGGCAGCCATGACGGCCAGCCATGACAGACAGCCATGACGGCCAGCCATGACGGACAGCCATGACGGCCAGCCATGACGGCCAGCCATGACGGACAGCCATAACGGACAGCCATGACGGACAGCCATGACGGCCAGCCATGACGGCCAGCCATGACAGACAGCCATGACGGCCAGCCATGACGGACAGCCATGACGGACAACCATGACGGACAGCCATGACGACCAGCCATGAAGGACAGCCATGACGGACAGCCATGACGGACAGCCATGACGGCCAGCCATGACGGACAGCCATGATGGACAGCCATGACTGCCAGCCATGACGGACAGCCATGACGGACAGCCATGACGGCCAGCCATGACGGACAGCCATGACGGACAGCCATGACGGACACCCATGACGGCCAGCCATGACGGCCAGCCATGGCGGACAGCCATAACGGACAGCAAGGACGGACAGCCATGACGGCCAGCCATGACGGCCAGCCATGACGGCCAACCATGATGGACAGCCATGACGCACAGCCATGACGGCCAACCATGACGGCCAGCCATGACAGACAGCCATGACGGACAGCCATGACGGACAGCAATGACGGCCAGCCATGACGGACAGCCATAACGGACAGCCATGACGGACAGCCATGACGGCCAGCCATGACGGCCAGCCATGACGGACAGCCATGACGGCCAGCCATGATGGACAGCCATGACGGCCAGCCATGAGGGACAACCATGACGGACAGCCATGACAACCAGCCATGACGGACAGCCATGACGGACAGCCATGACCGCCACCCATGACGGCCAGCCATGACGCCCAGCCATGACAACCAGCCATGACGGACAGCCATGACGGACAGCCATGACGGCCAGCCATGACGGCCAGCCATGAGGGACGACATGACGGACAGCCATGACGGCCAGCCATGACGGCCAGCCATGACGGACAGCCATGACGGCCAGCCATGACAGCCAGCTATGACGGCCAGCCATGACGGACAGCCATGACAGACAGCCATGACGGACAGCCATGACGGACAGCCATGACGGCCAGCCATGATGGCCAGCCATGACGGACAGCCATGACGGACAGCCATGACGGACAGCCATGACGGACAGCCATGACGGCCAGCCATGATGGCCAGCCATGACGGACAGCCATGACGGACAGCCATGACGGACAGCCATGACGGCCAGCCATGACGGCCAGCCATGATGGACAGCCATGACGGCCAGCCATGACGGACAGCCATGACGGCCAGCCATGACGGCCAGCCATGACGGCCACCCATGACGGCCAGCCATGACGGACAGCCATGGCGGCCAGCCATCAC